CACTTTTGTCATTTTCCACGACAATAGAGATGCAAAGCAAAAGAAAGACTGGGAAAGTGAGGCTAAACTGCTACACACACAGACATGAACACACACAAGCACACACAGCCTAATCTCCCTCACATCTCATTAACTGTTCCCTCTGAAGATGTATACAGGCTGGCAAGAGACTTATTTCCAATTTGGCAGAGCCAAGAGCATCTTAATGGGCTCTGGAAAAAATGCCCCACAGAATTATTATATGGATATTTGCTGGGCTAGGGCTTTTAGAGAGGTATTCCCACACTTTTACTAAAGGTCTCATGTCATTCCATTATTTAGTGATCAGACATCTAGCTGCGAACACATCTAAAATTACCCACAAATTTATTTTGCATACCTGCCCTACATGCAGAGTAAATTAAAAATTGATCAGTGCAACAAACAGAGTGTTGATTACATACTTTTGTGACAATATGAAAAAAAGTGACACCAGAACATTAACCACAGAGTTAAATTATGACAGTATGTGTTTATACAGCATACTGCTAAATACCTTCAAAACTGAAATGCTGATTCTTGCAATAGAATCTTAAAGAATTCAACAATAATAAAACATACTGACACCTTCAATTATGAATAAATCATCTCCTTGAATCAGTTGCAATTTCACCAATGAAATCTGAGGCCCTGAATATATGTGAATAGACAGCGTCATAAGAATATCACATTGAGGCATTAGCAAGAATTCTAAAATAGTTTATTTTAAAGTCAAATGTTGGCAATATTAACTGTGCTGCATACAGAAGGATCACAAGGGTCCTAACATTCTTTTAACTGCAAACAGCAAAGATCTCTAATATCTGTTTTGTATTTAAGGGAATTGGGGAACTGCACGCATCTCACAACCTGCAAACAGCTAAGTGCAGATCACAATGATAAGCAGAGAGAGTCGCAGCATCAGGAAATCACATGAGGAAAAATTGTGCTGGATGGATTGTATAACAGCTAATAAGCGTTCACTTTAGAGAAATCAAATAATATTATTTAAAGTTGATATAGATGAGCCCCAAAGGTAATTGTTATTCTTGAAAAAGGAAATATGAGACTCGGGGACAGCATTCATAGAAACTGCAGCACATAAAGTGATTTTGTTTTAAAGTCATAGCAAAGAGCAGAGTCCACCCATGAGAATGCCAACCGCTCTGTGTAAGTAGATGATATTAATGGCAAAGCCTCAGAGCTCCCTGGCAGGACCTGACTAAAGCATTCAGGAGCCGTTGTATTTATGAACAAAGGGCTGACAATCAAGCAGCATTGTGTGTGTGTGTGTGTGTGTGTGACACTATAACTAACGTCTGACACGTGCACACGGGGGTGATCCTCACAGGCAGGCCGTATTGTTGGCTGACTGCTGTGTGACACACCAGACAGGCGATGGTACGCTGACAACACAGACACGTGGAGGAAAGAGGAAACACAAGCTCAACCTGGTGGAGTTCAATGAAGCTATCCACCAGCCAGTTTTAGATTTTTTTTTTCAGATTCACAGCAGTGTGTTTCAGCACCACCACTCTGTCCTACCCATCTGCTCTTCGCAAAGAATGCTGGCACTCTTCAGAGAAACCTCTTACTGTATAAAAACAAGTCCAAAGCCAGAAAGATTTTTCTCACTGGCCTCTACCTCCCACCACTCCAGTACTGTGAGCCAGCGGAGGCACTCAAGAGTCCTTAGGCAAAAAGAGAAAGTAGCATTCTTTAATCAATGAAGTGGGTAGTATGGTTGACCTTTCTCCGAGTTGTCAGCCAACTTTGTCAAATACATTATGTCTGCATCAGTGCCAAACAGTAATTTCAATCCCAGAATAAAACTATGTATAATGACAATTTGCCAAGCACAGCAGTAAGGATGACATAAAGTCACACTGCTGATCGTGCATTACATCTCCTCATGGCAAAAATCACACAAGTAAATCCGACTGTCTCGGAGGAAGCGGGAGACTTTACACCAAAAGTTTCTGCTTTCGACTGGCATAACATTTGTGAAGGAGTATTATTAGCCAAGCCAATCGTAATAATAACTCAGACACTGTGAGAGGCAAGCAGAGAAAAAATATTTTGCCACAACAACTTTACAGATTTAGATGGGGGTTTTTTTTAAAGCCACAAAGAATTGACCTAGCCTCCTGGTGTAATCCTTGAAACATCAACTTGGGGTTTCTGCTCTGATGGTCTAGCAGGTTCTTTATGGATAGGTTTTATGACTTTGGAGCGAATGAGACACATTCAAACACTGCTGTAATATTTCAATAATGGGTGTCCTGCAGACTTTAGCTGTGTAAATGTTATTATTCAAAAGGGTATGACAAAAATGCAAAGAAAGAAACTTACATTTAGAGTTCCCACAATAAACACAAGTAAATACAAACATGTATTTGTATCTTTAAAAATAAAAAAGTTAAATGTATTTAATTTAAACTGAATGAAAATTGTGTTTACTTAAAGTTAAAGTGTGGATTAAATAATTATCAGATTTCCATATGCAAAAACTAGCATTTGTATAAAACATATTTGTGTTTGTCACCACTTAAATAATGTAGCTCCACTTCTCAGTGGCAGAGAGCTGTCAAAAATACTTAGCTTATGCAAATATGGAACTTCAAACCTATGGTAGCCTCCTTTGCAGGAGTAACCTGAGTGTTTTGTATCTAGAGGCATAGCAGTAGCATGACAGCAAATGATGGAGGGATGAGTGCTAACGCTGCTTATGCAGCTTACCACATGTTTGTATTAGCATAGCTAATAAGGTATAATTGGGGACTTTCTACTATCCCATCTCCCGAGGCCCAAATCTAACTTCTGTTGTATTTATGCAAAGGTTATTTGAAGACAACAAAATCTAATTACACATAGTGCACAGGGTGAACATGGCGTGTAATTAGGATTTGATCATATTTCCAAAAAAACATCTTAATCTATAATGTGGCCAACAGACCTCTGTCTTCGACTTCAACTTGATAAAGAGTAGATGAAGAATGAACATAAGAATAAACACTGAGAACTCTACATAACGAAACAAAAGTATGTCCAAGGATTTCCAAATTATTTATAAAATGTTATGTGACACGATCTGAATTCTTGTTGCGCTAAATGGAACCAATCCTGCAGTCAAGGGACATGGAGGCCAACCACAACTCTGGTCAAAAACTGGACAGCTACATGATTTACACTCCTGTAAGAACTGCTGAGTGATATAAACAGCTGCATTACTGAAGTGCAAGATACTGTCTCAGAATATATTAAAATAATCAAATAAGATTGAATAAATAATCCAAATATAAACCAGATAATCAACAATGGTGAAATTAATCATGCTCATGTTTCAATATATATGTATGTCGACTGAATCAGCAGACACATAGTTACTTAAGTTAGTATTCCTGCAATGCTACAACATATTAAGGCCTGTACTAACCCGCCTTCCATCACAAACAATCATTTTCTAACATCCAAATTGACCTATTTTTGTGTGCATTATAATCAGTCATTTTCTGACACACTTTGAAAAGGTCTAACTAGTCAATAACTTCAAAGTTTGCCACATAGAAATATAATTCTTGGATAAAACTGGTATAAAACGGATTCTTAATGCAAGGATCCCTCACACACCATGCACACATTCAATCAGGAACAAAACTGATCCGCGTCATTCTGAAACCCTGTTAAAAGCAAATAAGGCAGCTCTATGATCATTAGCGCCTGACACTGCAAATTACCAATACAGTATCTCTATTTTGTCTGTAAGAGGCAATAGAGGGATTAACTTCAGGACTCTCAGCTTCCCCTCTTCCATCTCATGAAGCAGCCTATGTTTACTGACTAATCTCCTTTCCTGCTTTGACCATAAATGTGATTACCACCACACAAGAGATAATAAAACCCCATATCTCTGCTGTACCAAAGAGCATGAATTAAAACCTAAGCTGTAGCCTTGAGGAAATATCAAAAAGGAAAAAACAAACCCACAGCAAAAAGGGGTATAACGCTGAGTGCATACAGCCCTCTACTGGTAAGCAGCATTCCCTATTTAGCCAAATACAACACGTCAAGCTTCATGATCTTCTGTTGAATACAAGCAACAGGTATGCAGCCACTCTCACAACATCTCCTGGTGCCACTGATGCAAAGTCAATCTGTCTCAGATTTTTTTGGGGGGGGAGAGGCTGCAAGTAAATCACTCTTTCTTTAGCTGTTAGTTGTGGTGTTAAATGGGTTATCTATTAAATTTATAACGTCTGGGTGAAGTCACACTTCTCTTTAATGGTCAAAAGGCTAAAACATGTGAAGGGTAACGACTGGGTTTTTACCAGTTTTAGTGTGAATTAAGTTTGTGTGCTGTTTACCAATGTCAATTTGGCCTCTATAATGTCAAATCTAAAACACCGGGAAATAACACTTTAACCAGATGGGGATGTGTGATTTGTTTCGATTGCCTACTTAAAGAGCAACAGCTTTTGTACAGGGGGATCATTTCATCTGGATTTTTAATCCAGTGTTTGGTGGCTACTTAATGGAAGATAATAAATGAAATGTAGCTTGCTGTGATTCATCGCTAAGCAATGTGGAAATAGTGGAAAGGATCATATTTACCTTTACATAGCAAAAATCATATATAGTCCCACTCTACCGCAATGACAAGTCTTTGATTTATCAAGACACTTATCAAGATGTTTTATTAGGGGGTCTGAATAGACAAACAAACGATTGCATTTAGACTACATTCAGACAAATGCTATTGGCAAAGTCTACCTCATGAAACATTGCATGTTGCTTATACATACTTTTTTATAATGCAGGGTAGACTCTATTTGGACCCACTAATAACAGGGAGGGCTCAAAGGTTTGAGGAATATTACATAGTTCAGTCATCATCAAATTATTTAATCTGAAGGGGGGAAACAAGAAATGACAAGTGGTGAAGGGGGGGCGAAAAGCAGTGGTGATCTGTCAGTTTCGCCTACCTGATATTTCCTGATGAGGTACATTGACGATGCTGAAGCCTTTAACGTTATAAGCTTGCCTAACCTCGCTACAGCTCCGCGCTTTGCTTTCACCAGCAGATGACAGGGACAGCACCGACAGAGTACATAAGGCGACTTGCAGTCTCCACATCGCATACATCAGTGAAATCCTTGATAATGTTTCACAGGGAAATACGAGCTCCGTCAGAGAGAGAGAGAGAGAAAAAAAGAAATCCAAAAGGGCTGAGTTAAAGATTTCTCCAGTGAGCAGGATGTCAGATTGTTCGTTAAAAGAAAAAGAAAAAAATATCACTCCTCACTTTAGATACTGGTGCGTCCATCTCATTGCAAACCGCTTCGTTATCTTCCCACTCGAAAATAGAAAAAGGACCCGGCGAGCCCGACTGCTCCCAGCTTGAACGAAATCCGTTTGAAGAAGACAGTTGCTACCTGGTGCTCTCTGTGCCAACAACTTCTCCCGCACACACAGCAAGCAGCCCCTGTGTTCGTGTCAGTGTGAGGGAAGCGAAATGCAGCCGAGACGCACGCTGCACAGCGAGCAGAGAGCGCACAAGGGCAGGGCAAAACATGGAGTGGAGTGGCTGCGACTTCAGCTGCTCGCATCCAGGGGCGCGCGCTGTCCTCTGCCTTTATGCATCCTTGGTATTGCGCACCATTGGACATTAGCGTGCGGACACATGTTGGAGGAGGCGCGGGGACCTGGAGGCAGAGTAGGCGGAATAGAACTACACCTCAACCAGATTATTTTCTTTTATTTCAGCCAATATGTGGTTAGTGCACAATCCCAAAGAACCGTTCAGTGTCCTTCGATGATAATAACCTACTGAAGTAATGCGACGCTATCAGATTGCCCTAGAACACAGAGGCTTTTTGGCACATACAATTGAAAGTTACCCTACACTAAACACCACTCACATGTGCAATTTTATCTCTACCAATTATGTGCCACTTTGCCTGTTTGGGATCATTTTTACCTAATTTCATAATTTTGAGTTCAGATCCCTGACAGATGGACAGTGTTAACTTTAGCAGTGTGAAATGCCCTTCCCCCTAAAAGCCTTCTCTTGCCTATAGTTTCCTAAATTACACAGCCTTTCATAATATTCCTACCTACAAAACCACAATGCTTTCAACAAGGCAGAGGTGTTTCTGGGTATTATACAGATGATTTTACCTAATTTAACTTGGCCACAAATAATGCATTACCTGTGGCAGCACAGAACCCACTCTTCACACTATAACATCAAAGTGTGTCATTATTAAAACGTGTTTTCTTTGAACAATGTTGTTTGGAGAAAAAAAGTTTTCTTGTTATAATGAAGAAAATCTTAACTAGAAAAGGATCTTGTTATAACGTGAAAGATTTTCTCTTGAGTATAAAAGAAGACTGTATCTCATATCCCGAACAAACACTCCTGTAGTGTGTTTTTGTGGTTTCGGGAACTACGTCTAGCTTGTTAAAACCAACTTTAAAATGCACAGTGAAAATGCAATTAGTTATAATTCAGGGTTGTAAAATGTAACGGGGAACTCAGACTCTTGCTGGTGCTCGACTGCAGAAACGGATAAGCGCATAGTTCAAGGAAATAATCACCTCTTGATTCCTTTAGGGCTAACACGTTCTGAGGGTTCGCTCTCGCTAAGCAACATGAGATTCTCGTGGGTTCAGTTTGTGGACACTGGGAAGTATGCTGGGACAAAGGGATTAAAAAATTTCAATCAGTCCCTCAGGATCTATAGAAAGACAGCTACCCCAGTGAAAATATCTCATTAGATACTTTTGCCTTTCTTAGATAGTAGACATCTCAGTATCTCAGTAACAAAGTTTGTTTTCCAGGTACAAAATGTATGGTGTCATAAATACTTCAGTCTTCAGTCAGAGTTGGGTCTAACAATTTTGAATTAGTTAAAGTCAAACTTAATACATGAATAGTCAGTAGTCAAGTGTTTTAATCAAGTTTTAATGAGTTCCTTCATGTGTTGCTGAGTCCTTATTTCTTTTGAAAGGTACAATGTACATATATTTATCAATTTACAACACAGGTTTGTATAACAAAATGAAGTTGTAGTTCCGTTTATGCTACTCACAAAAGCAAACAATTTATAAAAACTATATACAGTAGAGGGGCGAAAAAATAACAGGTAATGGAAATAAAATTATGTGACATGGTGGAGTGCTGGGGATGAATTGAGGAGTCTCACGGGGTGAGAGAAGAAGCTGCTTTAAAGTCTGGTAGTACGACAGATGATACTTCTGCATCCCTAGCCAGACAACAGCAGGGTGAACAGGCTGTGGCTGAGTTAGTTACTGTCCGTAAGTATCATTGATGCTCGGTAGATGGGTACCAACAATCTTCTAAGCAGTTTTAATCACCCTCTGCAGAGCCTCCTGTTCTTGGCTGTGCACATCCCATGCCAGCTTGTGATGTTACCAGTCAGGATGGTTTATATTGCTCCTCTGTAAAAGATAATAAGAACTTAGCACAGGAATTTTGACTTCTTAAGTTTCCTTAAGCGATTTCTGAGCTTTCTCTCTAACCAGCGTGGAGATGTAAGATGGCCATGTCTGGTTCTCTGTTATGTTGAACCTATAGCTGGTTATCTGCTCCACCTCAGCTCCACCGATGTTTTGCAAGATTATCTATTTCCTCCCCGTATGAAGTTTCATCATTGTTTGAAATCTTGCCGAAGATGGTGGTGTCATCTGCAAACTTCACAACAGAGTTATCTCCATGTCAGTGGTTGCAGTTGTGGGTGTGCAGTTTGAACAGGAGGGGGCTGAGCACACAGCCCTGGCTCCTGTGTTGAGCACTACTGTGAAGGTGGTATGACAGCCAATCCAAACTGGTGATAATCCAGGCTGACTGGGAGGTTGTTCTTTGTGTGCTGGAGAATTAGTTTCTCAAAGCCCTCCATCACAATGGGGGTGAGCGTCAAACTTTTTTGGGACAGGGACGATGGTGACCGTGTTGAAGCGCACACTGTGACAGTGAGATGTTAAAAATGTCAGTAATAACATCAACTACTGTAGCTGATTTGAACACGTTTTTAGTACACGGCTAGGGATGTTATTAGGCCCAGCAGGTTAACTAATATATACTCAGCAGGATTCTTCTCAGTCCGCCTCCTCTGGTCTTACCAAAGTCTTGTTTTCTATCAGCGTGGAACATGCTCCGCCCGTCGAATGCAGTAGCTTGATCCAGAATGTTGTTGGGCGCAGCCAGGTCTCAGTAAAGATGAAGGCACTGCAGTATTTGATTTGGTTCGGTTGGTCTGGTTGTCTGGACGTGAGATGCCATGAGCATTGATCATCTCAAGGTCCACTGGAGCTATCTGCCTCAACTGATAACTAATCATAATCATATGTATTTGAAACAAAATGTATGAACGTTTAAGGGAGCTGCTGGCCATCACATCCCCTTGCCATTTCCCAGAAGTTAAAAATTAGTTTATTGCTCAACAGAAACATTTTCAAAAATAAATCACATCATTAGCTCAGTCAATGTCAATATTTTTACACAACAAAATAATCCAGCATTAGCACTCATAAAAAAACCAGCTTTGTTAGATTTTTGGAAAGGTAATTTGGAAAGGATTTAAAGGAAAGGTAACTAAAATTAGTCTTCAGTCCAGTGAAATTGCACTTCACTCAGTCCCAAAAAAGCCTGTGATGTCACAGTTCCCGATGTGGGTAATGAATAAATATTGAGCTGATCAATGACAAAATGTAAACCATGTATATGATGTTTTAGTTTACAGCATGGTAGTATCATATTTTACATGATGACACTTTAATGGTTGAAATAATGGCTGACCGTGCAAATTTGCAGGGCAAAGCTGACCAATGCTGAACTCTGACACCTGCTGGAGTCGGCCAGGAGATCATACCGAAACAGGAAACACATGCGTGAATTTGTCAGATGCACTGCACAGCAACCAAAGCGAACGGGAGACAAAGTAAATACTGACAGATCAGAGGTGTAACATGACTGTACCTTTACCTTACATAGCTAGTCAGTTCAGTTGCAGTGAAGTCAGCAGCAGGTAATGAACAGCCCGGGCGTCTAGCTGTCTGGGATGGCTGATACTCTGAATAGGGGGACGGACTGGACCTCTTCCTACAGCTGAATATCTGTAAGCTTGCTTTGAATGTCAATGGGTTGATTAGAATTACTCAGCAAGGTAAATTAATAGGCATGTGTCTGAATCACAGTTGCTGCTTAAATTGGCAGACTGATATAGGCCTAATGCTATGTTAGAAAATAATTAACTGCAGAACCTGTTACATGTTGAAAGTAAAGTCATCAGATGCCATTGAAATTAAGGTTGTAATCTAAGTCTCATATTTTCAACAAAACTTGGCCAGTTCCAACAGAGAGCTACACATCCTTCCTGTTTTGTTATCAGCTGCACCAACAATAAACTGAGACTTTGGGAAAAATGCAAAGTAAAATCCATAATCCTCTGCTCCATGAAATCAATTTTACTTTAGTAAATGAGCTCCATGAAGGACCATGATGAAAGAGCTAAGGAGTTTCCCTAAGAAGAAACACTTTTAACGCACAGGCTTGGGCTTTGGTAAATTAATTTGGTTTAGAATACATGCTGTAGTAGTGTGTCATAATGCCAACAAACAATGAAAGAAAACACCCTCACCTATTAGGTCACTAAAAAACACTCATCTTAAGTTAGTTTTTTATTTCTGCCAAGGGAGGACTATGAAACAGCACCATATCTATGCTATCAAACAGTGCACTTACAATACATCAGCAAGACTTCTTACCAACTATAACAAATACACACTGCAGTGGAAGATTAGCACAGCTGGTAGGTCAAAAAATACTCAGTTGTTCTGTTTCATGCAAGATAATAATCTTTTGCCTAGTGTCGTGGATTCATGAAGTTGAATTTAGTGCTCTCACATAGCGCATTTAATGCACACTTCTTAACCTGCTGCAATTTTCACTGTCAGTGTGGTTTTAATTGTGACTGTACTGTAACCACTGCTGAAAGCTTAATACAGCATGAAGGACAAAAGTCTTATTTCTGTTTCTGTTGCTGCTCTCCCAGTCTTTCCCAGCCTAGCTGTCACTCTGTGGTGGTTAAATGTTTTACATCGTACTGTCACTGCATCTCTTTAGTAAAAATATTTTTGATATTTGGAAGATTACTGAATTAAAAATGAATAATTTCAATCATTATGATAATGATCAAGTTTGACTTTGTGGAAGATCAAATCAAAGAAAGGACGATTAATAAAAACTCCAGCTATCATTAGTTGTGATCAATTTAAGAAAAGATAGAATTTAAAGAAAAGATTTAAAGGAAAAATGTGACATAACACAAAATATCTATGTTATTGTGAATTCAAAACACAAACTTAGATCAAATGATGTGTGAAAATTACTTTAATTTGGAAAATTATATGAGATATACCACAAGAATAAAATATCTATGTGAGCCTAAATCAGACTGAGGATATTACCCCACTGTGTCAGATCTGGACATTATCTTGGTGCTGCTGAGGAAGACAGACTCAGTCATTTGTGTGATCTCAATGAAATGGAAAATGAAATTAATTTTGCTTCATGTTATTCTTCTTTTATA